TCCACCCTGGCTGATCTCCCCACCAGTGAGGGGAATTCTCAGGGTGCAGGAATCTTTCCTCTTTCACAGTCCCATCCCTGCACAGGTCCTATCCTGATTCCTTTCTCTTTTTCTTTTGTCCTACCCGGTTACATGGAGATTTTCTTGCCCTTTCAGAAGTCTGACATCTTTTGCTAGCATTCAGTAGATGTTCTGTGCAAACAGCTCTACTTGTAGATGTATTTTTAATGTATTTGTGGGAGATGATGAGCTCCACATCCTATTCCTCTGCCATCTTGATTCTCCCCTCCCCCCTCACTTAACATGATATTTAATGAAACAAAGTATGACCTATAAACAATAATAAATAAATAAATAAAAAGAAACTGACTCTAAGGAAGTCCAGATGTTGGACTTAATAAATACAGACTAAATTGAATTCATAGCACATGGTGTAGACCTTCCCACAATAAGTAACTCAGTAAGTATTTGTTGAATGAATGAATATGTGAATGCATGAAGAGTTATAATACAAAATTAAAACAAGAAAAGGAGAAAAAAAAAACACACCTCCATCACATCACATAATTACCATTTTGTTTTTGTTGTGAGGAATATTTAAACTCTACTCTTAGTGATTTTTATTTTTTTTTCTACTCTTAGTGATTTTTAATAAACCAGTACAGCACTATTAACTATAATCACAATGCTGTACATTACATCCCCAGAACTTATTCATCTTATAACTGGAAATGTGCACCCTTTGACCAACATCTCCCTAATCCCACTACCCCTCACTCCCTAGGAACCATCAGTAATTTTGTTTCTACAAGATGAGCTGAAGATCCACATGTAAGTGATATGGACTTGCTCTTTCTCACTTATAATGCTTTCATGAGCCATCCAAGTGGGTACAAATAGCAGGATTTCCTTTTTCTCATGGCTGAATAATATTCCATTGTGTGTAATTTAAACAAACACACAACCTCTTCTTTACCAGGTCATCCACTGAGGGACATTTAAGTTGTTTCCATGTCTTGGTTTATGTGAATAACACTGCAGTAAGCATGGGAGTGCAGATATCTTTTCAGTATTTCTGTAATTGCCTTTGTATATCCAAATGAGGAATTTCTGGATTAGGATTATAAATTCTATTGTTAATTTGTTAACTTCCAAAAAAAATACAATAGTGGCTGTACCAGCATCCCTTCTCACCAACAGTGCACAAGGGTTCCTTTTTCTTATGTCATTATCAACACTATCATCACAACATTATCAACATTATCTCTGTTCTTTTTGATGACAACCATTCTAAAAGGTGAGAAATGATAACTCACTGTGGGTTTGATTTCCATATTCCCTGGTTAAAAGTGGTATTGAACACCTTTTCATGAACATGTTGGCCATCTGTATGTTTGTTTCAGAAAAATGTCTATTCAGGTCTTGTGCCACTATTTTCAGTTTTCAGTTTCACTATTTTAAACTGTTTCTTTTGCCACATAGAAGCTTTTAAATTTTGATATAGTCCCACTTATTTTTGTCATTGTCACTTGCTTTTGCTGATGCTTCCAAAAAAAAAAATTGCCAAGAGCAAGGTCATGGAGCTTTTCCCTATGTTTCCTTCTAGGAACTTTATGGTTTCAGTTATTTAGTTTTTAATTCATTTGAGTCACTTTTTGTGAATGATATAAGATATGGGTCAATTTCACTCTTCTGCATGTATTTATCATTTTCCCACTACCATTTATTGAAGAGACTATCCTGTCCCCACTGAGTGTTAACTTCCTTGTCAAATATTAGTTGATACATATGTTTGCATTTATTTCTATCTGTTCTGTTCCATTGATCTATACATCTGTTTTTATCCCAGAACTGTACTGTTTTGATTATTACAGCTTAATAGTATAGTTTGAAATCAGGAAGTATGTTTTCTCCAGCTTTGTTCTTTATCTGGATTTGTCTGTTCAAGGATTTTTGTGGTTCCATACATATTTAAGGATTGTTTTTCCTATTTCAGTGAAAGATACCACTACAATTTTTTATTGGGGTTGCACTGAATCTATAGATAGGTAGTATCATCATTTTAAGTTTAGTTCTTCTGATTCATGAATGTGGTCTATCTTTCTAGTTCTGTCATTTTCAATTTCTTTCAGACTTATTGTTTTCAATGTATAGATCTTTCATTTCTGTGGTTAAATTTATTCTCCTTTTATGCAATGATAAATGAGATTGCTTTCTTAATTTCTCTATCATAATTTATTACTAGTATATAGAAACTCAGCTGGTTTTTGTGTACTGATTTTGTATTCTCTAACTTTACTGCATTCTTTTATTCCAAAAATTTTTTTGGTGGCATCTTTAGTTTTGGACTTCCCTGGTGGCTTAGATGGTAAAGCATCTGCCTACAATGTGGAGACCCAGGTTTGATCCCTAGCTCGGGAAGATCCTCTGGAGAAGGAAATGGCAACCCACTCCAGTCCTCTTGCCTGGAAAATCCCATGGATGGAGGAGCATGGTAGGCTACAGTCCATGGGGTCACTAAGAGTCGGATACGAATGATCCACTTCACTTTCACTTTCTTTTCAGTTCAGTTCAGTCGCTCAGTCGTGTCTGACTCTTTGCAACCCCATGAATCGCATCATGCCAGGCCTCCCTGTCCATCACCAACTCCCAGAGTTTACTCAAACTCATGTCCATCCAACCATCTCATTCTCTGTCGTCCCCTTCTCCTCCTGCACCCAATCTTTCCCAGCATCATGGTCTTTTCCAATGAGTCAACTCTTCCCATGAGGTGGCCAAAGTACTGGAGTTTCAGCTTCAGCATCAGTCTTTCCAATAAACACCCAGGACTGATCTCCTTTAGGATGGACTGGTTGGATCTCCTTGCAGTCCGAGGGACTCTCAAGAGTCTTCTCCAACACCACAGTTCAAAAGCATCAATTCTTCAGCACTCAGCTTTCTTCACAGTCCAACTTTCACATCCATACATGACCACTGGAAAAACCATAGCCTTGACTAGACGGAACTTTGTTGGCAAAGTAGTGTCTCTGCTTTTTAATATGCTATCTAGGTTGGTCATAACTTTCCTTCCAAGGAGTAAGCATCTTTTAATTTCATGGCTGCAGTCACCATCTGCAGTGATTTTGGAGCCCCAAAAAATAAAGTCTGACACTGTTTCCACTGTCTCCCCATCTATTTCCCATGAGGTGATGGGACCAGATGCCATGATCTTAGTTTTCTGAATGTTGAGCTTTAAGCCAACTTTTTCACTCTCCTCTTTCACTTTCATCAAGAGGCTCTTTAGTTCTTCTTCACTTTCTGCCATAAGGGTGGTGTCATCTGCATATCTGAGGTTATTGATATTTCTCCCGGCAATCTTGATTCCAGCTTGTGCTTCTTCCAGCCCAGCGTTTCTCATGATGTACTCTGCATATAAGTTAAATAAGCAGGGTGACAATATACAGCCTTGACGTACTCCTTTTCCTATTTGGAACCAGTCTGTTGTTCCATGTCCAGTTCTAACTGTTGCTTCCTGACCTGCATACAGGTTTCTCAAGAGGCAGGTCAGGTGGTCTGGTATTCCCATCTCTTTCAGAATTTTCCACAGTTTATTGTGATCCACACAGTCAAAGGCTTTGGCATAGTCAATAAAGCAGAAATAGATGTTTTTCTGGAACTCTCTTGCTTTTTCGATGATCCAGCGGATGTTGGCAATTTGATCTCTGGTTCCTCTGCCTTTTCTAAAACCAGCTTGAACATCTGGAAGTTCACGGTTCACGTATTGCTGAAGCCTGGCTTGGAGAATTTTGAGCATTACTTTACTAGCGTGTGAGATGAGTGCAATTGTGCGGTAGTTTGAGCATTCTTTGGCATTGCCTTTCTTTGGGATTGGAATGAAAACTGACCTTTTCCAGTCCTGTGGCCACTGCTGAGTTTTCCAAATTTGCTGGCATATTGAGTGCAGCACTTTCACAGCATCATCTTTCAGGATTTGAAATAGCTCAACTGGAATTCCATCACCTCCACTAGCTTTGTTCATAGTGATGCTTCCTAAGGCCCACTTGACTTCACATTCCAGGATGTCTGGCTCTAGGTGAGTGATCACACCATCGTGGTTATCTGGTTTGTCAAGATCTTTTTTGTACAGTTCTTCTGTGTATTCTTGCCACCTCTTCTTAATATCTTCTGCTTCTCTTAGGTCCCTACCATTTCTGTCCTTTATCGAACCCATCTTTGTGTGAAATGTTCCCTTGATAGCTCTAATTTTCTTGAAGAGATCTCTAGTCTTTCCCATTCTGTTGTTTTCCTCTATTTCTTTGCATTGATTGCTGAGGAAGGCTTTCTTATCTCTCCTGGCTATTCTTTGGAACTCTGAATTCAAATGGGGATATCTTCCCTTTACTTCTTTGCTTTTCGCTTCTCTTCAACAGCTATTTGTAAGGCCTCCTCAGACAACCATTTTGCCTTTTTGCATTTCTTTTCCATGGGGATGGTCTTGATCCCTGTCTCCTGTACAATGTCACAAACCTCTGTCCACAGTTCATCAGGCACTCTGTCTGTCAGATCTAGATAGATCACTGTTTTCACTTTTTTTTAGTTTTCTACATATGTCATCTGCAAAATAAGACTGTTTTACTTCTTTTCTGAATTGAATGCCTTTTACTTCTTTTTCTTGCCTAATTTCTGTAGCTAGGACCTCCAATAATATTGAATCAAAGTGGCCAGGGTAACATGAGCTTCATTGTTAGTGCCCAAGTGGTAGTATAATGGTGCTACAATGTTAAGTTTATAACACTCCAGGCTGCTCCACAAGAGACCACAATAATTTAAGAAAGAGTTTTATTTTCTCATGTAACAATCTTAGGAGTTGGTCAGAACTGGTAAGGCAGGCAGGTATCAGATTACTAGGCTCTTGCTATCATATTGCTTTGTTATATCTAGGGTATTTTGTCTATGTTTAAGATTTTCAGTCCTGCCTACAAGGAGAAAAAAGAAGGCAGGCACATTCTTCTCTTTTTTAGGGTACAACCCCAGGAGTTGTTACACACCACCACTTCAACACATATCCCATTGGAGAAATCCTGGTCACAAAGCTACACCTAACTGTAAGAAAATCTGGAAACTATGTTAATTGAGATGACCATATATGCAGCAAAAAGAAACACAGCTAAAAGCAGTCACCACTCGAGGGAAAGCTACCTGTTCATCTGTTACACTGAGTTTTAAAGAACAGTATTTAGAAGAAGAAAAGCAAGATGGGAGAACTTCTTTTATATGATCCTCATATGCACAGAAATAAAATGATTTAAAAACCTATTTCAAAAATTATTCCCAGCTGCACATAATATGGCTGTCTATATATTTTAGAAATTCTTCCAAATGTATTATATTTCCAAAATACACTCATCATATATGATCTTTCAGATACTATACTATAAATGGCTGAAGCATTATAATTTCCAAAGCTGAAGCTTTGCCATTTCCTTTTAAAATATATTTTTAAATTCTGATATGAAAGGTTATTTGTGCATAATTTTGAATTTTAGAGAATATCGAGGACTTCCCTGGCAGTGCAGGGGTTAAGACTCCATGCTTTCCTGCAGAGGGCACAGGTTTGGTCCCTGGTTGTGCAACTAAGGTCCAGCATGCCACATGGGATGACTAAAAAAAATTACTGATTTTATTACACCCAGAGATAACTGATAATACTAGTCAACTTATTTTTTTTCTTATGCATATGTTTAACAAAACTCATTTATTTATCTTCCTTTTTGTTACCCAGTGGTATGTTGTGCCTACATTCCCATGTCATTAAAAAACATTCAAAAGCCTCATTTTTAATGTTATCTTCTTCCTAAATGCCTTACTGGTTTTACTATAAAATCATGGTACCATTGTAAAAGTGTATAAAATTACAGATGATAAAACATGAAAGATTCTTTTATACTTAAAAATCTCATCATTAATATAAAGTCATTATAAAATTAAGCTACAAAAGTTTTTCTTTCTACAAACAATTTGAAATTGTGGTTAACTTTTTACCTATGTATTGAGGCTATATTACTTGTTTGATTAAGGTGATACATTCAGGCCAATCCACTTTTGGCTCCACTTTACCTGTTGTTTGTTTATTGTGTCATGATGTCAGTTTTCATCTATACCTTCTTACCTCTAGGCATCTTTGCCTAAAAAGGCAGCCCTAAACCCATCACAATTATAAACACATCAAAGACTATCTTCTTTGCTTAGCTACAGAGATCTATACAAGACTGTATTACATGTGTAACTTAAAAGAGACATAAAAGTTTTCAGTAAAATTCCTAAGAAAGCATGATTATCCAATCTTTATTTTTCATGGTGACATAATGTTGTCAATCATAGAGTGTGACATATTAATACCAACTTTTAATTGCCCTTATATATAGATTTTTCCTGTTAGATGTGGATTTTCAAGTTATACCTATTTTAAATATTTAACATATTTTTGAATTCTAATATACTAGATCACAATACTATAAAACAAGATTTCTTCTTTTCAGAATTCTCCTACTCATAAATGGACAGTAACTTAGCAAAAGATAACAATAATCTTAGGTGCAAACATTAAACAATTTGGGCTTTAACCCAACTTTTTCTCCTTTTCAACGTCTCAAACCTTCTCTGACTTACTTATTAATTAGACTAGTTAACTGTGTTGATCCAGGATAGAATCGTTGCCAAATAAATTTTTGCAAGTAAATAATGAAGAATTTTGCCTGAGGATTAATATGTTATAGTAAAAGTAACTAATTAAACCATGAAGTTAACAGCAAAAAGAATAGGTGCTAACTTTGCTAGTATAGAGTACAGGAAAAATACCTTGTATCAACAGTCCCCAATTGTAGACAAACAGATTCAGGCAGTTTTTATGCTACAAACTTTAAGAATACTACCGTGGTAGTTTGGCTAAACTGGTCAAGACTAACCGTGTGACAAGTCACTTTTGGGGATCTCAGTTTGCTCATCTATAAAATAAGAGATAACTAGATGAGTCTTTTCAGCACTAAAATTCTATGCATATGAGTACATATAATTAAACAGAACCCAAATTAAAATGCTATATACAAATATACAACTGTGAGGGGGAAAAAGTCATTTGTGCATAGATGGTAAAGAATCCTCCTGCAATGCATGAGACCTGGGTTCGACTCCTGGGTTGGGAAGATCCCCTGGAGGAGGGCATGGCAATCCATTCCAGTATTCTTGCCTGGAGAATCCCCGTGGACAGAGTAGCCTGGCAGGCTACACTCCATGGGGTTGCAAAGAGTTGGACATGACTGAGTAACTAAGCACAGCACACCTAGTGGTACAAATAAATTTGAATATTCTCTTAGAGGGTGAACTACTTTATTCAAAAATGCTTTTGAATTAAATCCTCTTACATACTGCCTTTAAAAGACTTACTTTATGCTGAAATTTATTTGAGCGTAAGATTACATAAGATGTAATATCAAGGTGTCCAAGCAAAGGAGCTAATGTAGAAAGAATAATTTCTAAGTAAATAGAATGATTTCACATATATTTGCCCACAAAAGTCATAAAATTATTGAACTCAGAGCTGAATTTGGGCTTATTACAGATATTTTACATGTATTAAGTTCTCCATTCAGAATTTATATCAATTCTTCCTATAATTTTACCATGTCCCCAAGATGTCTCTTTGCACACAAAAAATATTTGTTATATTATTGGTATATAAAGTTTGAGTTAAAATCATGCATCTTCCTTATCAAAATGAGGTAGTATCTTTAGCTATTTTAAACTATCTTTATAGCTTACAAAATGGCTTCATATAACCATAAATCTATATTCTCAAGGGGAGTAAGAGAAGAATCAGGGTTTTTCTAGTGACATAAAGAAAATAAAATGCCCCTCGTGCCCAGGTCTAATCATCCTACAATTTGCTGTGGTGTAGCATTCCATTTCAAGCTGATCTACTTCAGCCTCCACCACAGAATACACACCTCTCAAGAAACACAGATGTCAGGAACTTGTAAAGCATTCCAGTGATGCACTATGACTATAACGCTTCCCTTGTGACTCAGCTGGTAAAGAATCCGCCTGTGATGCAGGAGACTTGGGTTTGATCCCTAGATTGGGAAGATCCCCTGGAAAAGGGAAAAGGTACCCAAAACAGTTTTCTGGCCTGGAGAATTCCATGGACTGTATAGTCCATGGGGTTCTAAAGAGTCAGACACGACTGAGCAACTTTCACTCACTGTGACTAACTCCAGTGGCCTTGCAAGTGCCAATTAAGGCTATCTCCTCCCAGTTCCAAGTTCAAGGACATGATGTTAGTAACTCAAAACTGGCTATCGTAGAAATATGTTATACCACAGAAATCAGGAAAAATGGTTGGTTTGGGGGCTTTTGATGGGTTTGGTTTTTGAAGAGCTGGTTGTTAGTCATTTAATAGCACATGACTGAGGTAATCCCAGGTTATGGTTCCTGATAGCCAAGTGTCCATATATCAAAGACAAGACCTGTAACTGTTCCTACTTGTACAACTCCCAGAACTGAATTTTTGACTTTCATGAATCCTTCTCCAGATGGATATGAGAGAGAGTAAGGTCCATATGATAGGTAATTTATTGCTTGTCTTTGAACCTATATAGCAATGTTGTTCAACAGAAATATAATGCAAGCCACATACTTATTAACCTCAAATTTTCTACATGTTAAAAGTATATCTTAAATTACATGTTAAATTTCATCAGAAATACTTTATCTGTATTTAGAGTTCATAGTTTTCAGTTGAAGAAGTAATTTCAGGTACCCAAGTTGGTCCCTACATTCTTTAAAAGTTTTTACAATTACTGAGAATCAGTTTTCAATTTAAAATTTTTAAATAGATGAAATTTAAAAATTCATTCCTCGGTCATACTAGCCATGTTTCAAGAGTTCAGTAGCCACCCATAGTACTAGTTCCCATACTGGACAGTGCAACTATAAAGTATAAAGCATCAGCACCTCAAAAGTCTTGCAGACCCTTGAGCCTTAACACTGTGCCAGTGTGATGTATGGAATAAAATGACTTATTTAGCTCTTCAGTGCTTTAGTTTTCTGAGACAACAATAATCTTAGAGGAATAAGCAGTTAGTAATTCAACTATTTAATCACAGACATTCTCATGATTGCTATAATCATTAAATCACTCACATGATAGAGCAGCTGCCATTTGTGGCATGTCAGGTTATTTTAAAACCAACTCATCAAGCAGTAGCTCATTTTGAAGACGAGCTTAACCTTGTTAGATGTTAGTAGCTAAAAATGCTAAGCATTTATAGAATTTCTTTAAAGGACTTTACAAGATTAGTTATAATTAATCTTATAATAATGTATTGTTCCTCTTAGTGAATTCCTGAGGTCAAAGAAGGCCTTTCTGTGTAACAAAAATGTTCAACAATCAATTTGTCACATATTCTATACTAGAGTGTATATAAATTCAAGTATTAAATATCTCACTCCTGAGAGATGAACAAGAAAAAATGTTCACCTTAAGTAACTTTTCTGATCCAGACTACAATAAACTAATCTCAATACAGAAAAAGTCCTTTTGTAACAGTCATCACTTGTGTACTGTCTGTGAAACAAGTACAGCTTTCTTGATTATATGAAAAGGATTTTTAAATCCCATTTTTATTGTACTTAACATCTAAACTGCCATCAGAACCATAATAACACCATCCATTTTTATGCACCTTCCGGTTTTCTGAGTGCTTACCTGCATCATTTTATTATCTTAGCAACCCTAAAAGATACACAAGATAGATGTTTTGTCAATTTTTTGAAAGAAATTCAGAGAGGCTGAGTGCCTTGCGTACATATTACATAGTGATCAATGCAACAGCTAGAGTTCAGCCACTGTTTATAAAGTGCATACTTTTAGCTGGTGAATATGCTGAACACTGCATTATCTCATTTAATGGTCACAGAAATCTTATATCTATTTTACAGATGAAGAAAGTATGATGCACAAAGATTATTACATATAAGTCCTTTCTGAAAACAAGTATTCTTCTCTACTCTGCTGAGTCCAGAAATGAACTATTATCAAAGTAGGAGAATGGTTCCAATCTTCATCAAAAACAAAAATTACTATAGACTAACACACGTTACTTGCCCAGCATAGTGCTATGCTTGGCAATTACCATCATGTTTCGTATTTGTAACAACTAAACAACCGTTAAGAGTTAAATATTAGTTTTCCCATTTATAAGTAAGGACAGAGACTCAAG